AAAAATCCCGGAATGGCTCCGGGAATGGAAACCTGAGGGAGAGGAAAGTGGTCTCTCTCTTGACGGGGGAAGAACCGCGACGGCATGCAGGACCCCCCGCTCCCCACACAACAAACCCCCTTCACTCTTTCCCCGTCGGAAGCCCCTTGCTCGGGGGCGGAGCGGGGTCACGAGCTCCAGGGCTGCAGCGACGTGACTCCCCACACGGCTTTTCAGGCTCCCCCTCGTGAGGGAGGGGAAAGGCCTCGGTAGCCCTCAGGAGCCGCGGCCCAGGCCGAGCGGCGGCGACGGACAGCCCACTGGCTCTCCCGCCCCCTCCCCTGAGGAAAACCGCCCAGCCCTCGACGGTCGACGACGCTCGCCTCACCGGTCGGCAGCGGCTCCCGTTCGCGTCGTCGCCTCTCCGAGCGGCCGCTGAGGGGAGCAAAGCGGGGGGGGGAGGGGCGCCTCTGAAAACAGCCGTTTGCTTCTCCTCCGCCTCCAACGGCCAAGCAGCCCCCGCCACCGGCCACCGATTGGCTGCTGCTCCGCTCGGAGGGACAGCCGGGCCCACCAATCGCAAAGCGAGGTCCGTGGGCGTTTCCGCCAATGGCTTTACCCCGCGCGCCGGGCCCCGCCTCCCCGCTGGTTAAAGAGCTCCGGGGAACTCGCGTCGCCTTTCTTTTCTCGCTCTCTCTTCCGCTCCGGCGCTGGTCATTGGTCGGGCGGTGACCAATGAGAAGTCGCGCGAAGGAGGTGCTCGATGGCAAGCGCCGCTCGGATTGGAGGAGGACGAGGAAGAAAAGGTGGGCCGGGCCACGGCAGGCCCGGCCACGCCCTTTCGGGCCCCTTTGGGAAAGGATGGGTGAAGCGACGCGGGCGGCCTACGTGAGGACGTGCACAACAGCAGCCGCGCGGAGGTGGGAGGGGTTTGCGGGGCCTGGCGCACCAATCGGGGAGGAGTGGGCGGCTTCTTTTCCGAAGGCCACGCCCTCGCGCGCTTTTCCCCGCCTCTCCTCTGCTATTCCCCCACGCGAGTTTGATTACATGTTGCTCAGCAATCCCGGTGGGCAAAAAAGGGAGAGACCTGACTAGGTGGCGATCAGAAGGGTCGGCGGTTCGAATCCCTAGTACAGATCTCTTGCGTGAGCAGGGGGTTGGACTAGATGATCTCCAAGGTCCCTTGCAACTCTGCTAATCTGTAAAACTGAGTCAGTTGTTTACCCAAATAGGGGTGCAGATCCTAGGGTGGGAGTTGGGGCGTGCATAGCATTACACCTATGCTGTTAGGGGTGGTGGGGGGGGGAGACCCATTGCCCATTGGGACTCTTCTCCTAAGTGATATATCTACAGTAGTGGCCAAAACTGTGGAAACCTTTTGGGAAAAGTGTATTTTTGAGGTTTGATGACTAATAACACCACTTTTTTTTTGGAGTTTCAAGATAATCATATTGCACTGCTGGAATGGCCTGGGAATAGCCCAGACCTTCTTAACCCAATTGAAAATCTATGGAGCAGACTAAATAAACTTGTTAAGTCAGAAGCGACCCAGCAATCAAACCCAGTTAATAGAAGCCATCATTCAATCTTGGTTTCCCATTATAACGGCTGCAGAACTAAAAGACTTGGTTCACTCCATGGGAAGACGTTGTAAGGCCGTCATTCATGCTAAAGGTTATCCAACTATTAACTGACATGGTGATAATTTTTGTGTATCTCATTTTTTCTATGGGGATAATTTTTTGTGTATCTCATTTTTTCTACGGGTTTCATTTTTCTTCTTTATACTGTAACTGCTATTCTAATGGCAAATCTTTCATAAAAGTTATTGCATTCCATTTGTGATTAAATTATCTTTCCACTGATACATAATTTTATGGTACTACTCCCAAAAAAAAAGTAGTGTTATTAGCTACTTTTAGAAAACACACTTTTCCGAAAAGGTTTCCACAATTTTGGCCATTATTGTATGTACCAATTTATTCAATTAAAACATCCATCCCGTTGCAATTCTGTGGCTTTGTGTTATGATTGTGATTTTATTATCGTGTTATTAACATAACATTGTGTTGTGAAATTATGTGATTTTTATTATGGTTCCATTTTAATATTTTATCACTTATATTGCATTGGCCACATCTCTTTTGGGGGGAGGGAGGGAGGGAAGGAGGGGGGTGGGCGGATGGATGGGTGAATGGACGCACAGATGGATGATGGATAATTAGATGGATGGAGGAGAGAGGGATTGGTAGGTAGGTAGGTAGGTAGGCAGGCAGGCAGGCAGACAGATGGATGGGTGATGGAGGATGGATGGATAGATGATGCATAGATAGATTTGCTGACGCTTTAAACTAAACTTTTATATTGGTGATTGCATGAACTCTAGATGCCATGTTATTCATATCTAATTTTTATTATATTTATACATTAGATGGATAAATTAGATTTATATCTTACTTTTATGTATAAATTCTATATATTCCCTATAGAAAGGCATATAAATTCTATATATCGAAATTTATGTTCCTTTTTTTTCTCTATAGTTTTATCCTGCTCTTCGTAATATGTAGTAAACGCATCTTGCCACGATTCCCAGCCATTCTGCCCAGTAGCTATAACTGTCTATATTTAATTAATTATATTTATAAGTTAAAATTAATTCATTTCTAATTTGTAAATTATAAACTGAATGGATGGGAACTAAACTTATCAGCCTGCCCAGTCTTGGTCCAACACCTTTAATCTCTATCCCAGACTGATTTTCAAAGCCAGACAGAAGAAAGTTGTTTTGGCTTGTTATCTAGTAAGGCAGTCAGATGTGCAACGATTCTGTACAAGTAACATTACAGGTAGTCCTCAACTTACAACCACTTGTTTAGTGACCCCCTCAAAATTACAGTAGCACTGAAAAAAGTAACTTGACCAGTTTTCCCGCTTATAACGGTTGCAGCATCCCCATGGTCACGGAATCAAAATTCAGATGCTTGACAACTGGCATGTATTTATGACAGTTGCCCTGTCCTGGGGTCATGAGATCACCATTTCCCACCTTCCCGGCCAGCTTGACAAGCAAAGCCAGTAGGGGAAGCCAGATTCACTTAACAACTGCAGTGGCTTATTTACGACTCAGTAATACTCCAAATGTCTGTAACAGTGATGGCCAACCTTTTTACCATCGTGTGCCAAAAGTGGGTGGAGCGCAGGGGGGGTCATGCACTTGCATGCCCACACCCAAAATTCTATGTGCCCCGCCCCCCAGAACATGCCTGTGCGACCCCCTCCCACACTCCCCCCTGCTTTTGGCACATAATGGCCAAGTGGGCCTGGTAGACCCGTTTTTTTTGCTCTCCCCAGGTTCCAGGGCCTTTCTAGGAGCCTGGGGAGGGCAAAAACAGCCTCCCCCCCAAAGGCCCTCTGGAGGCCGGAAATGGCCTGTTTGCCGACTGGTGGGTCCAGAAGGCTTAAAAATCAGCACACCGGAGCTGAGCTCGCGTGCCCACCGATATGGCTCCATTTGCCACCTGTGACACGCGTGCCATAGGTTTGCCATCACGGGTCTTGAACTACCTGTACCCAATTTGGTTCCCAGGAAGCTGGTAAAGTTTAATTAGAGATCACCTTCATTTAAAGAGACAGCACTGACAGATTTGTAAAACCCGGATGAGGAATTGGACAATTTAGAGTGCACACAAAACCAGTTAAGACATGCAAAGGTACATTGGTTTAGAGTGTATGCCCCCTTTTCCCCCTGCCCATCCTCCAAAAAGTATTTTGCTAATTAAAGGAGACTTCCTGTTAATTATAGATTTCTCGAAGGTTGCCTGTCATTTTGCGAAGGGATCCCTAATCTGTTCCGTGCTTTGGGGAAAGAAAAAGAAATGTGGCTTTAAAAGTGCCAAGAAAACTTTTTTTTCCGACTTTAAAAAGCAATGGGAGGAATGGATGGGCGGAGCCTGGTAAAGCTATTCAATTTTGAAGTCTCAGTATTACCTCCACGATTAGATAGATCGTTTCAAAGGTTCATATCCTGGCTGTGATGACTTTGAACATCTCCAACTCCTAAAATCAGCCATCTCTGTTTTCATGGGCCCAAGTTGGTTTTGACTCCTGGCAATTGCCTGGATCAGATTTTTGGAAGTAAATTGCCTTTGTCTTCTCCTGAGGGTGGAGAAAGAAGGACTGGCCTAAAGTCACCCTACTGAGTTGGTCCCGAGGCCTCCCAGTTTCTCATCTGGTGTTTTTAACTATTATACTAAACTGGTTCTCACCCAACTATTTAATCCAGTGTTTTCAAACTTGGCAACTTTAATAAGATGCATGGACTTCAACTCCCAGAATTCACCATGCTGGGAAGTTGAAGTTCCACATTGCCAAGTTTGGAAAACACTGATCCAGGCTATATTGTGTAGGAAGCTTTGGGAAGTAATAGCATAAAAGTATATATGTAGTCTTCAATTTACAACTGGCCACTTAATGATTGTTCAAAGTTACAACAGTTCCCCCCCCCCAAAAAAAATTACAAGTAATCTTTAACTTATGATCACAATGGAGCCCAAGATTTCTGTTGCCAAGCAAGACAGTTGTTAAGTGAGTTTTGCCCCATATTGCGATCTTTCTTGCCACCGTTGTAAAGTGACTCACGGCAGTCATTAAGCTAGTAACAAGGTTGTGAAGTGAATCCGGCTTCCCCGTCGACTTTGCTTCTCAGGTCGCAAAAGGGGATCACACGACCCCTGGACACTGCAACCGTCAGAAATATGAACGGGTTGCCAAGCATTCAGATTTTGATCATGTGACCCCCAGGGATGTTGCAACAATCGTGTGAAAAACGGTTGTAAGTCACGTTTTTCGGTGTTGTTGTAACTTTGAACAATCACTAAAATGGATGGCTTTAACTGACCGACATTCTTGCAAGTCATTCATTGCCCAGATCCCAGCAACTAGATGTATGAAACCTACTGACAGAAACAGGATAGCAGACTAACTCAAAACTATTTCAGCATTCAAGAAGGCAAATGATCTTTTTGATAGGAAATGTATTTTATTTTGAGAACTTCTGTTTGTACAAAATTAGCATAATTCAGAAAGGTAAAAAAAGTTGCTTGCTTCTGAACATTATTACAGATTTATAAAAATGCAAAAAAAACAAGTACATTTGTTCCAGTCTGTTTAGCGTGAAGAGTGATTTATTTAGCAACCCTGGTTTATTTATTATGTTGAGGTATTCACTGTAGAGTATTGCGAGTGTTGAGGTGAGAAACAACTGACCGCTGAATATATAGTCAAGATTTTCCATTCAAAAACTAGTTACATATCTAGTTTCCCATCCTAAGCAAAACTAGAAAATTCAGAATTAGCAGGTTAAGAAACACGCATGCGGACTGCAAGATGATCATCTAAAACTAACGATACAGAATGATAATATTACAGTTGATCATTCCAAGAACAAAACTTTCCTCTGGCAGCTTGGAGTTCGGTGTTTTGTTTTTTTTAAAGGGTTCAGAGATCAGTGTGATCAGCAAAGAGGACTGTTAAATTGTCCTTTTCAATGGCTTTTATATGTTCCCATAAGACACCACAAAAATTAGGAAGCAGCACCTGGCTGGCAGATACAAAGGCAGAGGTAGCCGATTTGCATAAAGGCTCTTAAGACAAACGGTTGATAAGGAAGAACTGTTGCTTTTAAAAACAAAAATAAACAATACACACAAATAAAACAATGGAGTCTCGATACAACCGAGGGAAAACGCTGAAGCCCAAGCCGCATTACACAGAAGCACACCAAAAATGCTGCCTTAAAAACAGCTAAAACACTTCAAACTTATGGCCCTGGATCCATTGCTTCAGAAGATTGTTCTAGCAATTGAGCTACATACAAGATTTGATTCGTGAGAGAATGGCTTCGCTCCAATTTAATAGCAGGTTTCTGACAAGCAATGTAAGGTTCCCTTCAACCTATGCTCTGATCCGTATATATGTTAATTGGAAATGCTACCAAAATAATATATATATATTTATAAAAGCAAGTTCCTCAATCTTAGCTTTTTTTTTTTTTTGGGGGGGGGGCTGGGAAGGGGGAACGGAGACAGAAGTTTTTCCAAAAGGTTATTTATTTAAATAAAACCCCACCAAAATCACACACGTTTTTTTTTTTCCCGAAGGGGCAAGACAAAAACAGAACTAAACTCCAAAAACGGAAATGAGAAGTGCTTTACAGAATCACCGTCCGTTGCCGTAACCCGGGAAGAGCTGAACGAGAAGATCCTGCAGGGGTTGGTTGACTTCCATCGTATAGTTTTTGCCAAGATCGTAGCGGCAGGCTGGACAGCTGTAGACTTTGGCTCGAAAAGATCGATCCAGGCAATCCTAGAAGAAAACAGACAAAAGCTAACAATGGGACTTACGCTTAAACAACAACTTTGATCAACCTAATCCTCCTCCCGGAGAAGATTTTGGTCCAAAGCAGATTAAAAATGTAAATCCAGTGGAACAAATCTCTTTAAAGTTTAATTGTGGAGGTTCTATGTAAGCTGGAGAAGCAGGGATGGAGGAGAGTGGGATTAAGCTCCGAGTACCACTTTTGTGGGGAATTTAATTTTTTTTTAAAAAAAACCGTTAAACTGTATGTTTTGGGTGGTGGAGTTATAATCTAACACTTTTTGTTTTATGTTCGGATTCCAACACTTTCTGTAACAAGTATTTCCAATTTGGTTGTCAAATTAGTTCCACGTACAGATAATCCTCAATTTACGATCAACACTGGAACCGGAACTTCAGTTGCTAAGTGAGGCAGTTGTTAGATGGGTTGCACCTGATTTACAACCTTTTCTGTAGCAATTGTTGAACGAATCCTGCTTCCCTCCCCATTGCCTCTCTTGTCTGATTTGCCTCCTAGGCAGCATCTCTTTCCCTCATACCCCAAAATCATCCATACATTCCATTACGGTCTTTAAGTGAACCACCACTGTCATTAAGTGAATCCAGCTTCCTCCAACGCCTTTGCTTCTTCAAAGTCCCTGGGGAAGGCTGTAAATAGTTATCACATGATCCCAGGATGCTCCAGCTGTCGTAAATGCATGCCGATTGCCATGCACTCAAATTTTGATCACTTGACCCTGAGGATGCTGCTCCCCTGCAGGCCGGTGCACCCGGGTGGAGGAGCTGCTCCAGGATGACCAAAGGGCCAGTCCTGTGACTACTACAGCTCTGAAATATGTGACCGACTTTCCCACCAACGTCAGCAAGCCACCGTCAGTCTGCCCGTTCTTCTTTTCCTTCACTCAGATTGACCAAGCTTCTTGAGAGAAGGCACACAAAAGAGGTTTCCAGGCTGTGTCCCTGGACCAGACGCTTCCTCTCGGCCTCCCACCCGGAGGCCTCGCAGGAGCAGACAGGTAGGCTCAAAAGGCGGCTGAGCCTCTCCCCCCCCCCTTGTCCACGGGATTTAAAATTATGAATTTGGTGGTCCCTGAGGTCCAAAAGGTTGGCGACCCCTGACCTAGAGTCCCTAGGTTCCCACAAGCAATCCGACTCCAGCCCTCCTTGAATTTGGTTGACTCTTACTTAACCCCAATTTAGTGCTAACCATCAGTTGACTAGATTCTTGTGTACAGGCATGAGCAATAAATCATCTTAACTGGAATTTGATGTGAGGTCCCAATTCTTCACACCTTGCACTTCCTCTCCAATTAAGACACCAGAGAGCCTGGCTAGGTGGCTCAGAAACTGAGATTGTCGATCAGAAAGTTCGGCAGTTCAGTGGTTCAAATCCCTAGTACAGGTCTCCTGCGTGAGCAGGGAGTTGGACTAGATGACCTCCAAGGTCCCTTCCAACTCTGTTACTGTTACAGTATGTTCCTCTGATGAAAACGTCATGACAGGGCAGGTCTGGTATGCAATGGAAGAGACCAGCAAAATCAAAGGGGGAACCCAGATTTGATTAATCACCCCACCAAAAAAGTGATAAAATCAGGCGCGGCTCACTTAATCGCTCAGTGAGGAAAGTTCTAGAGTACGGGTGTCAAACTCGCAATGACGTGTCGTGACGTTTTTCCCTTTCATAGAACTGGGGTGGGCGTGGCCTGCATGTGACGCATCCAGCCCGTGGGCCGCCAGTTTGACACCCCTGTTCTGGAGTGAACTGTGGTCGTAAATTCAGGACTGCCTGTATTTTCTATCATCACCATGTCTCACCCTGCCCTGCCTACCCAAAGCTGCTTAAGGAAAGCCCTGGACCACCTTGGCAGGCAAACGTGAAACCTGACAGCTGCTCACCTTACATACGTTGTGCTGGCACACCGTGGTGATTGGTCGGAAAACCACCTCTTGGCAGCAGATGCACAGAAAGGTTTCCTCCACTTTGCTCAGGAATTTCTGCCAGGAGAGAGAAATAAGGTAGTTAATCCTCAGCCTCATCCTGCCTTATCCCTAACCCAGGAAATCATCAGTTATGCTCTCCCTACGTACCGGTCCTTCCTTAAGGGCATCTAGTGCTTCATTCCACAACTTGGTGTTGGCTTCATCGTCTTTGATGAGAGCCTTCTGCTGGGGAGTGAGTTTGTAGACTTCAACTTTAGTTTTCTTTGGGGTCGTGGCAGGAGAGGCACAAAGGTCCGAATCGTTTCCTGGAAAAGTACACAACCACACGGAATTTACTTCATCATTCATTCATCAAAGAGAGTGCCTGGAAGCTGTACGGATCTGGATGGGGAGAAACAGGCTCAGACTCAACCCGTCCAAGACCGAGTGGCTGTGGCTTCCGGCATCCCGATATAGTCAGTTGGTACCAGCACTGACTTTTGGGGGCGAGTTGCTGGCCCCCACAGAGGGCTCGCAACTTGGGCGTCCTCCTGGATTCACGGCTGTCCTTAGAAGAACATCTGACGGCTATGGCCAGGGGGAACTTCTATCAGGTTCGCCTGATTCGCCAGTTGCGGCCCTTTCTGGATCAGGATGCCTTACGCACAGTCATTCATGCCCTCATCACATCCCGCCTGGACTACTGTAATGCTCTCTACATGGGGCTCCCCTTGAGGAGCACCCAGAGGCTCCAACTGGCGCAGAGTGCGGCCGTGCGGGTGGTTATGGGGGCGACTCGGCACTCCCATGTAACACCTCTCCTGCATGAGCTGCACTGGCTCCCGGTGGTCTTCCGGGTGCGCTTCAAGGTACTGGTTACCACCTTTAGAGCACTCCATGGCTTAGGACCCGGGTACTTACAAGACCGTCTTCTGCCACCAGTAGCCTCCCACCGACCAGTATGCTCCCACAGAGAGGGCCTCCTCAGGGTGCCGTCGGCCAGACAATGCCGGCTGGCGGCCCCCAGGGGGAGAGCATTCTCTGTGGGGGCACCTACCCTCTGGAACGAGTTGCCCCCAGAGATACGGCGGATCCCTGACCTTCGTGCTTTCCGAACTGCCCTAAAGACGTTTTTGTTTCATCAAACTGGGCTGGCCTGACCTACTCTTTTTAAAAAGAATTGTTTTAAAAAATTAGGGGTTTTAATATAGGGTTTTTAACTATGGGCCAAATTGATTTAATTGGATTTTAATATTGTTTTAAATTTTGTATCTGTATATTTTATTTGTTGGCTGTTCACCGCCCCGAGTCCCTCGGGAGAAGGGCGGTATATAAATATAATAAACTATAAACTATAAACTATAACTTCAAAAAGATGTGCAGGCAACTCAGCTCAAGAAGATCATTTACCGGATTTCCTTTTCCTCTTCCCTTGAACTGGGGATTCTTCTTCTATTTTCTTGCTGTTTTCTTTATCTTTGTTTGCAACGGCTTCCAGGTACCCTTCGGGATACTAAAGCAGGGGTGATGAAAAAGTCAGTTGTGACATAACCTCTGCCTATCGGAACAACGGATGGCTGCTCATCGCCACCCTTTACAAGACAACCCTCCCCCCCACCACCCCCACCCCTGTGTACCTGCATGGTCAGGCCAAGTTTCTTCATCCTCTCTTTGCCTTCTCTGGTCCAAGGGGCTGGCTCTTCATCGTCTCTCCTGAGCATGTAACGCCAAACCAAGAAGCCAGATTTCCCTGTTTCGGGCCAATATTTAACTACCTGTAAAAGGGAACAGAGAAACAGGTTTCAATTCCATGAAAACAGTTTGTTGTAGTAGTTAAGGTACCAGGCTAGAAATCAGGAGACGGTAAGTTCTAGTCCTGCCTTAGGTATAAAAGCCTGCTTGATGACTTTGGCCCAATTACCAGGAGACTGTGAGTTAGAATCTCCTCTTAGGCATGAAAAATGGCTAGGTGACTTTGGGCCCATCACAAGGAGACTGTGAGTTCTAGTCCCGCCTTAAGGCATGAAAGCCAACTGGGTGACTTTGGGCCAGTCCTCCGTCTCGGCCCAACCCACCTTACAGGATAATTATCGTCGGGAAAAAGAGAAGGAAGGAGAATTAGGTGCGTGTACCACCTTAGTTATTTATAAAAATAATAAAGGTGGGATACAAAAAAAAATGGAATAAAATAGAATAAAATAAAGTGGCCAGGCACAACACCTCCTTTCCCCAAGCTTTGGGGCCCCATTTATAAACCAACCCAATCTTACCTTATAGATCCCATCGTAACGATTTCCATCTGTGGGGGCATATTTGCTGTATCGGCCTCCCTTCATGTTCCGCACCACTCGAACTGGTTTCCCAGCTCGCCAATCCTTGGCTTCGGCACCCTCTTTATCGTTAATCGGCGCACTGCAGTTCAGGGCCAGAGCTCTGCCAACCGTGAAAAGACAAAGGGGTTGAAGGGTCTTTCCTGGGGACTTTGATCCTCCCTTCTATAGGTAGTCCTCAACATACAGTTATTCATTTAGCAACCATTCAAAGTTACGACACCGAGAAAAGTGATTTACAACCAGCAACCAATCACTCCAGCATTCCCAAGTCATGTTATAAAGTAGCATTATCACATGAAAATACTACATTATAATGCTTTGGTAAGAACACACTGCATCCAGTTTTAGTCATGATATAAAAAGATGTTGAGACTCTGGAAAGAGTGCAGAGAAGAGCAACAAAAATAATTAGGAGTCGGGGGGCTAAAACATACAGAGAACGGTTGCAGGAATTGGGTATGTCTAGTTTAATGAAGAGAAGGACTAGGGGTGACATGATAGCAGTCTTCCAGTATTTGAGGGGCTGCTGCAAAGAAGAGGGGGTCAAGCTATTCTCCAAAGCACCTGAGGGCAGGACAAGAAGCAACGGATGGAAACTAATCAACGAGAGAAGCAACCTGGAACTAGGGAGAATTTTACTGACAGTAAGAACAATTAATCAATGTAACAACTTGCCTCCAGAATAGTGGTGAAATCTGAACCGGTTTACAACCGGTTCGCTGGCTGCGCATGCACAGCACGCACCAAATGTGAGGTGCGCGCGTGCAATGCACACCAAAAGGAGGCATACAGTAAGTAGAACAGGGCGCGAGGGGGGGTGATCAGCTGTGGCGCACAATCTTTGCGCTGCTCAGCTGTGATCGTCAGCGGCTTTTGACCGAAGGCCAAAGAGGTTGTAGAAAAAATGCTTTTAAAAGTAAAAAGTAAAAAAAAAAAGCCTCTGATGATCACGCAGCTCAGCTGGGCATGGGGGGAGGAGGAGGCAGGGTTTTTTGCTACGGGTTCTCCGAACCACCCGCTGCCATCGCTACCAGATCGGACAATCCAGTCCGAACCGGGAGCATTTCACGCCTGCTCCAGAAGTAAATGCTCCAACAGTGAAGGTTTTAAAGAAGAGATTGGACAAGTATTTGTCTGAAATGGTATAGGGCCGTGATGGCGAACCTACGGCACGCGTGCCACAGGTGGCACGCGGAGCCATGTCACCTGGCACGCCAGCTCAACCTCTCTAGGAGTCTCTGGAGGCTGGGGACAACAAAAAAATGTCACTTCCTGTCCAACCGGAAGTTGGGAAACGGGCCGCTTCGGGCCTCCGAGGGGGTGGGAAAGGCTGTTTTTGCCCTCCCCAGATGCATAGAGAGGATCTGGAGCCAGGTGAGAAAGAAAAATGGGCCTACTGGGCCATTGTGTGCCTGGAGCGGGGGGTGGGGAGGGCAGGGGTCATGCATGCATGCGCAGGGCAGGGCACACTCACGAATCTCCTGCCTCCCCTTCCTGGCACGTGATAGCAAAAAGGTTAGCCATCACTGGTATAGGGTTTGCTCCTTGTGCAGCATTGGGCTAGAAGACCTCCATGGTCCCTTTCAACTGTTATGATGAAAATATGGGTGCCTGAAAACCAGCATGTATTTACGGATATTGGTATTAAATCAATACCAATGACTCGACCTTGGCAATTTTAAAACAGGTGGACTTCAATTCCCAGGATTCCCCAACCACCCTGGCTGGCTGGAGTATTCATCTCCACTAAGCTTAAAATTTGTCAAGATAATGATTTAGTCTAAGGTGAACATTTATAAGCTTTAGATATATAATTTATCAGCTATTTTGTTGAGTTACTTTCCATCCAGCTGCACAGTTTAATTGGAGAGCTGTATCTTACTCTGGTGGACATTCATGAACAAAGAACAGTTATTTTTTGGCAGAGGTTTTGCCAACATGCAATTTTTTCCATTTATGTGCTTTCTGGCCCATACATGATTCCACAGTAATACAAAGGAGGTGTGCAATGGCGCAGTATCAGGTATATGAACACGTGAGAATAATTGCATGAGAACAGAACCTGCAAAAATACCCTGTCCACAAAGCAAGGTATGAAAATTTTATAGACCCTCCCTGATGCAGACAAACCACTAAACATCCACTGAATTATAAATGCAATTCTAAAAACCGCTCGGAGATATCAGACATGTTTAGCTTCATTCGCTCCCCGTCTTTTGCAGAATTCCTTGGGGGTTTCTCCTCACCTGTTCATTTTTGTAAGTTTTTGATCGCAAGACTGTTCAGCTGTCCGCTTGTTCCCCGAAAGGTCACGGCCTCCGCTCCCCGTGTAAGTGAAAGAATTTCCATGATCCTGAAATATATTCAGATCGTTCAATTCAGGGGTGGAAAAAATCCACTCAGCTGGTCACTCGATTGATTTTGGCACTAAAAAGACTTGGATATTTGCTTGCCTGTACTAATTGGTGGGCAATAGCATGCTGCATGTGGAATGCTGAAATCTTTCTCCAACTTGGCATAATTCATGATCTGTTTGGCAAACTGCTCCGAGTTCTTCCAAATGTGAACATTTGCAAAGAAGCTTTTGACCCCAAGTTCTAGCTTTGCCACACCACAGCTTCATCAATACACGTAGTCCTTGACTTAAGACCAATCACTTACCAATCATTCCAAGTTACAACAGATACCCCCAAAGCTGCTTACGGACCAGTTTCAAAGTTCTGGTGTTGGTTCCTTCCCAAGATCACATGATCACATTTTCAGTGGTTAGCAACCAATCAGCATTTATGCCCCTTTGTTCTACCCCATGGTCACATAACTGAGAATTACAGTGGTTTTCCTGAAACCAGCTTTTACTTCTAGTTTGTGGCAAAAACAAGCCCATAGCAAACAATTGGTTCGATTAACAATTGTTGCAAAAAAAGATAATCAAATCAAGTCCAGGTCCACGATGGTCTGCTTTACAACTGTCATGACTTAAAACCATAATTGCCAGTCTTAATTATGGTTGTAACTCGAGGACTACCTGTATGTACAATTATTTATTCTTTTTATAGCAATACAAATAAATAGACTTTAGCCTGAGTTTATAGGGCCAGTACAGACAATCAATTTTATTATACATGCATAAAATCAAAAAGATGCAACATATTATATATTCCTTGCAGTCAATGGCTTTATGTCAGCTTTTATGCTTCAACCGTTCATTTGTTTTAAAAAAAACAAAAAAACAACGAAGAAGCCAAAGTGCCACTTCCCACTTTGGAAGACTCCTCTGGTCTGACTCCTCCAAATCAGAGTTAACTAAGCTTTCTCAACCTCAACAACTTTTTAAGATGTGTGGACTTCAGATCCCAGAATTTCCCAAGCAACAGCAGCAACTGTGAGGGACTGTTGTTTCAAACTTGCTCTTGCAAGTAACCCAAACCCTAAGATTCTGTTGCACTTCTATATTTCTTACATTTATTTTAATCCCAATAGTGTGTCACGTACGTGCACTGCTCAGTGTGTATTACGATTGGAGCAGCATCACAGCCCAGTAAACAAAGGAGCCAAGAGAAGGCCGTTCTGCATCACCTCCATACTAGAACAGACACTTGACAATTTAACTCCAACTAACGCAGAGCTGAGCAGCCTTAACCTGCAAAGAAGCCCACCCTACCCCTTTAGTTATTAAATCAGTTTTTCTTGACCCAAAAAACAATTTCAGAGTTTGACTCTACACTAAGCAGAAGCTCAAAGGAAAGGTTGCTAGTTTAAGAGGTGATAAAGGGAAGAAACATCAGCAGAAAAATCACAAAACCAGGTTATCTTGGGATAGTTACCTAAGGTAGGGGCTTTTCAAGATGGCTCGGAAACAAACCACTCAGTTCTGTAATTAACAATTAATTGTTTGAACTAAGTAATTAAATTCAACTAATTTAATTTAACTGAAATACAAATATCTCATTGGCCTTGGGACTTCTGGTAAAGAAGAGGGCAGCATTGAGAGATACAATGTCACTTACTACATCATCTTCGTATCCGCCAGCCAGGACCAAAGAATAGGCTCCATCGGTGCTCCGGCCGTGAATCCCAGCAACATGAGGCCGGTGGACACCCGACTCACTCACCTGAAGGGATAAAGGCAAGGTCACAGGTCAAAGCTTTTAGTGCATGAGGCCATCACCGTTATCCATAATTACATGAATAAAGAAAGAGTCACTCCCCCTCACCCTTTTCAGTTTAGAAATCTGAACAACATTTCAGTCATATAGAGCCCTGGTGGCACAGTGATTAGAATCCAGTTTTGCAGGCTAACTGTACCAACTGCCAGGAGTTCAATACCAACTGACCAGCTCAAGATTGACTCAGCTTTCCATCCTTCCGAGATCGATAAAATGAGGACCCAGATTGTTGGGGGCCATAGGCTGACTCTGTAAACCGCTGAGAGAGGACTATAAAACCCTCTGAGGTGATGTATAAGTCTAAATGCTATTGCTATTGCTATTGCTATTGCTATTGCTATTGCTATCTATCTATCTATCTATCTATCTATCTATCTATCTATCTATCTATCTATCTAGTCCATCTACAAGATATTTTTAATTATGATTATAAGGAAGTCGCCATGGTTGTTAAGCAAATCATGTGATCATTAAGCAAATCCAGCATATCCAATGGACATTTTCTTCCTGGAAACAGCAAAAAACATTACAAATCATGGCCACATGACTATGGAATACTGCAACTGGTCATCGATGTGAGCCAGTTGCCAAATACTTGAAATGCAATCATATGATAGGGGTATGTCTGTCTGAGAGGGAGGGAGGGGGAAGAGAGAGGGAGGGAGAGAGGGGTAACTTCAAGGAAGGATATAGCATGCCATTTTACTGGGTTCAGCATAACTTTGAACAGTCGTTGAATGATGAATCATTAAGCAAAGACTACCAGTATGAAGCAAGTGTGAATCTGGCACTCTTTAAAAACTATAGTGCTGGCCAACCTGGTTAGGTTTTTCCCTTGTATTCCCTTTTACTTCAGACTCAAACAATTTATACATATTGACACCCAGAAAGATCTACTGTACATTCTCAATGCTTCCTAGTAGCAGCATCTCACCTGGACTCTAAATTTCCACATGGTTCCCACTGGAACTCCAGGGATGGGCCCATAATGGTTTGATGGCACAATGGTACATTCCCTTGTGCGTCCCACGCATGCCATGCCCTTAAAAAGAAAAGGGGAGAGGGGGCCACATTTTAAACATGATCAACACAACCGACCCATGGATGTATTTGGCTAGTCTTCCTGCACTTTTCCAAACTTCTAATAAAACACCCCATTGCTTAAAATAACCAGAATTAACCTACCAGGCTTCTCAGCTACACAGTGTTTGGTGGAAGAAATGGATCTTCACCTGTGCACAGCATTGGAGCCAGCAAACAGGCTGACCTCCGTGCCATCTCCCCCCTCCCCCCGGCTTGGTTTTAGTTTTTTAATATAATTTTTAGTTCTAATTTGTTTTGTATTTAGTTTTTTTTTTTGTAAATGTTTGTGAGATTGGTGGCCTATAAATTGTATTAATTAATGTGCTATCAATAGAACTGCAGTTTATAAGGTTGCTCTGATTAGCTATTCTCATTATTTATATCACACCTTAATTAGCTTTACAATTAACTCAAAGTAGTGAACATATCCAATACACCTTCCTCCTCTACAGCAACAACCCTGTGAGGTGGATTGGCCTAAGAGAGAGCAATTGCTCAAAGCCTGCCCACCTGGTTTTCATGGCTAAGGGGGACTAGAACTGTCTCTTGGTGGTTGGCCCATTTTCATGCCTAAGGAGGGACTAGAACTCAAGAGTCTCCTGGTAATTGGCTCAAAGTCACCCACCTGGCTTTCATGGCTAAGGTGGGACTTGAACTTGCAATCTCCCACTTTTTAGTCTGCTGCCTTAACCTCTGCACTCAGCAATTCTTCCTTCTCTCCATAAGCTTCCCAGTATTTTAATAAATTAGAAACCTGCAGTATATTTTGTGCCGGCTGAGCCATATGAAGGGCATCTTTTGGCCTGCAACAAACAAGCATAGCCAGGTTCCAGTTACCTTGCCCCAATCCCGCTGAGAAGATGAATTAGCAGATGCCATTTTAGATTTCTTTTTGCTTTCTTTCAGCTTCTCACCGGCCAAAACCACCTCATTCACATCATTTCGGCATTCGGGACAATACCTAAACATTTAAAAAAAAAGAAAGAGAGAGAGAAGACGTTCATTTTTTTCATTTTTGTTATCTGCAATACTAGACAGACATATATTAAAAGCTACTTTCTCAATTTCAAATGGTGCAGGTATAGCAAGTTACAGCTTTCCAAGACTCCCCAAACCGTGCCAAACAGGACTGCATCTTGAAGAGAATCCACCTTAATTCACAATAAAGACAACTGCTTATCTTTCAGAAAAAAATTGTTGTTTTATTTACTTATTTAAAACAGGGTATATAGGTAGTCCTTGACTTATGGCCAGTTGCTTAGCAACCATTTATACTTCCGATGGACCTCAAAACAGGTATACCCAACCCAGATTCTGATGGCCACCCTCCCCGCGTTGTGTGACTGTATTTCGGGCACTCAGCAACTAGCCCACATTTTGGCCGCTTTTGGCATCCTGCAGTCAGGTTTGTTTGTTTATGAAATTTATTGGCAGGCCCTCTTCAGGGTAATTCTAGGCGGTTTACAATCATGAAAGATAAAAATTGTATCAACTAAAAACATAAATAAATTAATACCCAAGCTTTTACTTCTGTTTCTAATTTTGAAAAGACCATTGGAGAAAACAAGGTCGCTTAAAATCTTCCATGTTCGCTTAATGTTTGCTACAACCAAGGTCGCAAAATCGGATGCAAACATGTAGTGCCCCACTTAATTATCGGCACAACTTATGTCCATAATTCCAGGCTCAGTTATGCTTGTCAGTCAAGAATGACCTGTATAGTCTTTCCCATCCTGTACCAAACCCCAGGAGGCTCACAATCTTGCCAATTTCCCATGTTTTTTTTATAAAGACATTAACACAAGTAAGGTGAGATACAACACAGAAATTTACATTAGTAAATTAACCTTAGTAATTTACTATTAATAAACAGTTCTATAGGACAGTCACACGTCTTAAGATTCATCGTGGGGTAATTTTTCTCAACCGTGCCCACTTTAAGATGTGTGAACTTCAACTCCCAGCATATATCTGCAGCATGGCTGGCTGGAGAATTCTGGGAGTTGAAGTCCATACGTCTTAAAGTTGCCAAAGTTGAAAGACGTTGCTTACAGGGATTCGTTTCGACTTACCAGTCCTCATCGTCAGGTATCCTGCTAAGAGGGGGGTCAAGACAATAAATGTGGAAAGCCATGTCACACTCATCACACATGAGCTGTTTTTCAGGGTCTTGTTTCCCACCGCATATGTGGCAGGCGCACATCCGGCAGGTTTTGCTCGGGTTGTCTTTACAGTGCTTGCACACGGGTCCGCTTTGTCCTAAAGTTTAAGAAAAGCAGGCATACATAAAGCACCTCAGAAAGAACAGCCGTAAGACAGAAGGTCAAAAAGGATGTGGGCTCTGAATCTCATCCAAGAGACGCAAATTATGACATTCACTAGCGTTAATTATGGTGATTGCACTAGCTCGGATGATATTTTAAAAGGGTGGAATTTTTTTTTTCCAGAAAAATGAGTTATTAACATTTATTAGGTGTGATGTTCTAAATTCTAAGATTGCCTTAGGAACCACAGTCGGGTTGGTGACTTTGAGCCAATCACTAGAAAATGGTGAGTTCATTCTGCTTTCCTTAGGCATGAAACCCAGCTGGGTGACTGTGCCAATCACCAGGAGACATGAATTTTAGTCCTGCCTTAGCCATGAAAACTGGCTTGGTGACTATATTTGTAGCAAAAACTATTACTCGTTGCAAAGCAGGACAAGTCAATTGGAAGGCAACTCACTTTTTTGGGGACTTTCTGCCGTCAAAGGAACAGCACAGCCTGGTTCTTCGATCTTGTAAATCTCGTCCACCAGAGCAATTCGGCAATCAGTCAAGATATCTCCACCATCACTGCAAAACAGGGATTAGAACAAGCTGAGCAAGAGAGGCAGCAACAATGGTGGCTTCTCCCAGCAGAATTCCTTCCTACCAATCCTGCAAATATTAACGCCATATTAATGCTCCTACTTTGGATATACACGGCAGTCCTTCCCTTTGACTTCTGAGTGAGAACATTTCTGGACTGCTTCTGTTTCCCCTTTGATAATGTATGAATGTATGTATGTAGGTAAGTAGGTAGGTAGGTAGGTATACACGGATGCATGTATTTATTTATAGCCCATTTCATTGTTGAGTGATTCTAAGCGGCTTACAATATCATAAAAACAGCAACATAAATATTAAAAAGATTGAAGGACAAAAAACTGGGTAAAATATATGAACAAGGTGGATGTGGGATCTTCTCAGTCTATTAAACTAGGGGTCCCCAACCCCCAGGCCGTGGCCCACTACTGGGCTGTAGCCTGTTCAGAACCAGGCCATGCGAGCAGCTGCCCAGAGCATGTGTGAGTGCAACTTGACTTACGTGAGCAGTGGGCCAGTTCCCCTCTTCCCCCTCCCGGGCTGCCAAGTTATAAAGGTTGGGGACAACTGTACTAAAACCACCTCCAGAATGACAGATTCCAATTGGGACCCCAGGCCAATTGGCAGAGCCAGGTTTTCAGGCTTTTTTGAAAGTCCAAGGGAGCGGGGTGGGGGGGGGCATAGATCTTATCTCGTGGAGCACAATAATCTAGATGGAGGGAGTGTAATGGGTATATTTCTATCAAAATTATCTTTGCATTTCCCCCCCTTTTCTCATTATTTTAAAAGCAATAAAAATGAATAAAAGGAAAGGAAACATATCCGGGTTACATTATCCTAGACTCCAAAAGTTGGATGAACCACAAAATAAGTTTGTTTGGAAGAGCTTCCAAGCAAGCTCACTTACCCAAGAACAATCTTGGCGTATAATTCTTTGTAAGTCCTTGTTTCCCGCTTCTGGAGGATCTCCGCGTCGTACCAGAAGCCCCTCTCTTTTGGATCATCGGGATTATAATTCAACATGACGACATCTCCGATTTCTATCTCTTCCCATTTTAAAACTGTCCTGGCACGAGCACGGACATTTCTGGAACTCAACTGGATGACACCGTTCTCTGGATAGCTTTATCAGGGAGAAGGAAATAAAATAAGCCACTGCACCTTTCCCAGACAAGTACAAGTAGTCCTCGACTTACGAACACAACTGAGGCCAAATTTTCGATTGGGAAGTGAATTTGGCCTTTTTAGGACTGTTCTTGCCACCATTGTGAAGTGAATCACTGCAGCTGTTAAGTTAGTAAGACGGCTGTTAAGTGAATCTGGCTTCCCCATGAATTTTGCTTGTCAGAAGGTTGCAAAAGGAGATTTATTTTACTATTTTATTTATTGGTTCGATTTATATGCCGCCCTTTTCCGGAGACTCAGGGCAGCTTACAATGCGTTAAGCAATAGCCTTCATACTTTTGTATATACCTGCTTAGTAGGGCTTTCAGGGGCATCTCTAAGCGGTGTTTTTTTTTTATACAAAGTCACCTTATTGCTCCCACAATCCGGGTCCTCATTTTACCTACCTCGGAAGGATGGCACTTGACCCCAGGATGCTGAGATGGTCATAAATATGAGTCAGTTGCCAATTTTGATCACATGATCATGGGGATGCTGCAACAGTCATAAATCATTTTTTCTGTGCTGTTGTAACTTTGGTCATTAAATGAACTGTTTGTAAGTCAAGGACTACCTATGTTACGGTTCATTACAATCAGTTAGACGTTCAAACTGAATGTGGCATTTTTCCTAAGGACCTGGGATAGGCAGATGTGGAGGTTTGTTGAAGATACTGTTGCAGGATATAAGCTATTCCAAGTCAAGCCACCTTTTGAAATTGACCAATGGAGATTTTTTTTAATGCCAATGGTGAACAGACACAACTGGGAGCCTGGATGAATTTAGATCCAAATAATTTCTGCAACATCCACACCATTTTCAAAAGTAAACCTGCCTTCTGAATAAATGCTGCCACTCGAGAGACGCTAGGAAAAAATAAATATATCCCAAAATACTCACTCTTCATATTTCACGTGATACGTAATGTCCTCATCGGGAACGGCTTCTTCCAAATTGGACTCTTCGTCACTTTCGTTCGCCTTGCTCGCCGAGTTCCCTTTCCGAGTCACTTTCACAACTTGCGCTTCGAACCAGGCTCCCATGCTCGTGTCGCGAGCGTCTACCAACTCGTTAATCTAAACCAGAAGCCCCAAAGCAAAACATTGTTTTTTAATCAGCTAACAATATGAAAGTCAAGTCTTCAAAAATCCCACTTTCATGTGAGTACAGCTTTTATATCCAGGTAGTCCTCAACTTACGACCACAATTGAGCCCCAAATGTATGTTAAGTGAGAAATTTGTTAAGTGAGTTTTGCCCCATTTTACAACATTTGTTAAGTGAATCACTGCAGTTGTTAAATTAATAACATGGTTGTTTTGTAAATCTGGCTTCCCCATTGACTTTGCTTGTCAGGTCACAAAAGGGGATCACATGACCCCAAGTTACCCTGCAACCGTCGTAAGTATGAACCAATTGCCAAGCATCTGAATTTTGATCATGTGACCATGGGGATGGAACAACGATTGTAAATGGTCATAAGTCACTGTTTTCAGTGATGTTGTAACTTTGAACAGCCACTAAATGAACTGTTTTAAGTCGAGGACTGCCTGTATATTAGTCTACCTCTATTTTCAGGGTCTGAAACCCCCCCCCCAAATTTAGCCTCTTATCTTTCTTCTAGGTACCAGTAATCATGGAAACCTTTTATTACTGCACAGGGTTGACTGCTAAATATTTGATGACGGTTTCTAAAGTGCTGATTTCGGAAATTATACCCAAAGTTTTCTGCTCTGCATTTGCATCCATTTTCACTTTCCAGTCTTAAAATTACTGTTTTAAGTAAGCTATGCTGTCCTTGGATTTGACGTATCCAAACATAGATCAGTTTATTCAGACTGATCATTTACAGTTAAAATGGACAAGATAACCTTCCAGTTCCCCATTCCAATTAGTGCACAAGAGTTTTTATTTTATTTTTTTAAGAAAAAGATTGGGGTAAGAATTTAGCATCTCTCTTTGATCAGGACCCGCTTGCTTTACTTGTGCTGAACCCATGACCATAATGGAGCCTACCCATTAAGATCCCATGTCATGACGGTCATTAAGCAAGTAGCACAGTGATCGCCTTGTTTAAAGATGCTCATCTTTGTTCTCCCTGATGTAGCCATTAAGCAGAGCATGGGGTGTGGGGGAGGGTCTAGGGGGGCCTAGTATAGATCTGCACTGCAGCAACACCACAGATCGCATGTGTCCTGTTGTGGGCCTCCTCCATCCGAGGGTGCCTTGAGTTATTTAACAGGATAACAGAAATGGAAGGGACCTTGGAGGTCTTCCAGTCCAATCCCCTGCTCAAGCATGAGACCCTATTCACCATTTCAGACCCCATGGATCCAGGTAGGCCTTTCCCACACCACTAGATATTCTCAGAACTCAAGCCTGTTTCCCACCTCATTGAGTCCCACGCTCTGCTTCCCATCCCCTCCACCTCACCAAATGTTTGGTCCCTTATCTCCTGGGTATTATACATCACCTTCTGGAAACAGCTGTTGCATTATGCAACCTCCCTACACAGTGGAGGCCATGTGGCTCCATCCTGGGAGCAGGCAACCATTTTAGAGAGGCTACAATCAGTTGTAACTGCTCCCAAGATGGCACCGGATTCCAGGACAGAGCCATGTGGGCTGCAGGCAGGCCAGGGAGTAGAATGGCCGACTCTCCTTCTTAAGGTGACCTCCAAAGCTCCAGGGGACACATTAGTGAAGGAAAGTAGGTTGCTTCACCTCTCAGCATCCCTCATGGTGGACAACCAGGAAGTACAGATAATCCTTGACTTGGGACTACAATTGAGCCAAAAATTTCCACTTCTAAGCAAGACGGTGGTTAAGTGAGTTTTGCCCCGTTTTACAAACCTTTCTTGCCAAAGTTGTTAAGCATATCACAGAAGTTATTAAGTGAATCGTGTGGTTGTTAAGGAAATCCGGCTTTCCCCACTCATTTTGTTGGAAGCCAGCTGAGAGTCATAAAAGGTTATCATATGATCCTGGGACACTGCAACCGTCATAAATATGAGCCAACTGCTAATTTTGATCACTTTCAGTGCCGTTGTAACTTCAAAGGGCCACCGTGAAGTCAAGGACTACCTGTATTAGATGTTCCTGTATTGCTAAGTTTACCAGGATTTCAGACAAATGAAAGAGAAACTGCCAAACTATGGCTGGCCGTGGCTTGCTTAACCACCAGGGAGGCATTCATTGTCAGAATCTCTACAATGACTAACATTAATCCTGTCTTAATGTATTATAAGATAAAGGTAAAGGTTCCCCTTGCACATATGTGCTAGCCGTTCCAGACTCTACGGGGGCGGTGCTCATCTCTGTTTCAAAGCCGAAGAGCCAGTGCTGTCCAAAGACGTCTCTGTGGTCATGTGGCCGGCATGACTCAATGCCAAAGGCACACGGAACACTGTTCCCTTCACACCAAAGGTGGTCCCTAGTTTTCTACTTGCATTTTTACGTGCTTTCGAACTGCTAGGTTGGCAGAAACTGGGACAAGGAACGGGAGCTCACCCCGTTACATGGCGCTAGGGACTCGAACCGCTGACCTTTCGATCGACAAGCTCAGCGTCTTAGCCACTGAGCCACCACGTCCCTTTAATGTATTATACAGACATGCTAATTCTCCGTGCAGTTCCCCCGGAACTAAAGAATAGAGGCTCTTCTGCTTCAAAAGGTCTCTGCATCTCACCCTTCCATCTAAAGCAGTCGCACCTTATAGAATCCAAAGCCGGGGTCCACCAAGTCAGTCCCAACGGCAGTACTGCACTGGGCCTCCATCTCCACGGCCCCTTCCCCATTATTGGAGCTTTTGTCCGATTCACTTTGGCCTGAACAGCAGCCAGAGTCCGTGTCCGAAAGTTCAGAGTCTTTCTCCTTGTTCACCAGAGGCAAGAGAGTGGGGCTTTGTCTCACTAACAACTGGACGATGTCGTTCAAATTCACGCTGTAATCAAAGAGGGAGTGGCCATCTTCCATCTGTAGGTTGAGAGAAGATCACAGTCACAAAAGGCAAACAACGGTTAACAGAAATGTTAAGATACCGAGTTCACATGTCCTTTCCAGGTGGAAAGTTTCAAACTGAAGGACCAAGCACACCACATAGGAAATACCCACTTGAAACCTTGGAGAGCCATCAACTATAGCAAAATAGTGACCTAGATTTCCAAAAGAGGAATAACCAATATTAATCAATGGAAAGCTTGCTTCCAGGAGACGTGGGTGCTCCATCACCGGAGGTTTTCAAGAATAGACTGGACAAACATTTGACCAGGATGGTATAAGGTCTCCTGCCTTGAGCAGGGGTTTTGACTAGAAGACCTCCAAAATCCCTTCCAGATCTATGATTCTATTTTTTATATTCATTCTTTCTTTTCCAGTTCCTAAAATCTTCCCACCCTCTTTCCTCGCCTGCATCCTCACAGCTGTCAATATTGGGGGAGGGGAGGTGTTCCCCAGGTTCTCCCTCCTAAACTTCTTTGGCCCTGATCAAAAGAGCTCTGATTCAACTTTGATTAGGTTAGGGCCTCACCACTCAAAAATAGACTGTTCCATGCATGGAGCACTTTTGAGTCAGTTGGAGTTGGGCAGCTGATAAAATTAAAAATTAAAAAAATATGCCTATTTCTACTATTTGCATAGATGAAATCTGCCTAATGACAGCATTTCCTGATTTCCCAATCCAATCTAATAATCTCTTATATAGCATTATTAGTTGTGAATTTGGGGCAATGAAGTCATATTTGTGGTAAGGTATTATGATAGCATTATGAGAATATCTGCAGAGCAAACGATGCTAGAGGAATGGCTACATAGTTTGTGGGTTAAAGTGTTTCTCAAAATTTATTTGTGCGGCAAGACAAACAAACCCTATTGTTTGCAAAGCTTGTTATCTATCTATCTCTAATACTCTTGTTTAACTGGACGAAACCGTGCATTATAAGGCAATAATTTTTGAATCGAGATATCTCAAATGGGCTAATTTACAGAATGTATCCAAAATCTTGGACCCATGATTCCCATGGGATGGAAATTTGTGAAATTTGATAAACTATTTAATTATATACACCTATCATAGAACATTTTGTGACTTTATACAAAATGTGACAAAATAACTCCTGTGGTCCTGATGCTCAACTTTCCTAAACAGTTCATCAGGAGATATTTCCAAGGCAAATCCATCCTGGAATATCTTGTTGATCTTTTTTTTAAAAGAACTTTTCCAGGGAAGTACAGTAGAAGCTCAGCCATTGATGAAAGCATGAAGGAAACTAATAAGGAAATATCTCTAAAACAATGACCTAACAGCTAAAAATTGTCTACAGGTAATCCTCAATTTACAACCACAATTGAGCCCAAAATTTATGGTGTTAAGTGAGACATTTGTTAAGTGAGTTTGGCCCCATTTTATGACCTTTCTTGCCTCAGTTGTTAAGGGAATCACTGCAGTTGATAGGTTAGCATTCTGGTTGCTCAGTGAATCTGGCTTCCCCATTGACTTTGCTTGTCAGAAAGTTGCAACAGTCATAAATGTGAGTCAGTTTCTAAGCATCTGAATTTTGATCACATGATCATGGGGATGCTGGAAATGTCATAACTGAAAAATGGTCATAATTCACTTTTTTCAATGCCATTGTTCTTTGAACGTTCACTAAGCGAACGGTTGTAAGTCGAGGACTATCTGTATGCTAATGGTACATAGATGGTAAAAACTGATATCTTTATCCTGTTAATAAGAAACAATAATCATTAAGCAAACAGGAGCCATTCGGCTGCATCAAAACCAGCCCTAGGAGTCCTGGCTAAGGACAACAGGAAGCTAGCAGCCAACAAGACAGAGCTGACGAGTTGCACAGAATCCAAAGGCAAGGTAGCTCAACACAAAGTGTAAACCGTTTCACAAGAACGAATATTCTGTATATATAGACATATGTATATTTCAGCAGAGTGGGCAGTGGATTATATTTAGAATTGTAGTGCATGGTAATCTTGCAGGAAACTGGGTTGAAATAGGCTAGTTTAGTGATTGATTAGTTTAAGAAAAAGGATTTTTAAGTCATATATTTGGGGGAGTGGAAGAATTGGATAGAACTGAATAAATTTGGAGAAGGCTGCTTTGAAATGTTAAATTAATATATATAAAAGTAAAAGTTATGTTGTTGTAATAATAATAATATTTTATAAATTTGGGGGAGGAGAAAAAGGGTAGATTGTGAAAAGCGGAGAAAAGCGGAGTTATAAGAATACTATGCTAAGGGTCAGTACTTTGAGGAGTGAGTAAGGGCATGGTAAAATATTATGTAATTAATTATGAATTAGCTTATTGTTGTGAAGAAGAAGTCACAGGGGGGGATGGGTGGTGAGGGCGGGTTGGGGAAGAAGGGAGGAAAAGGGGGAAAAAACTTGTATTTGAAAAACTTTTTCAATAAAAAAAAAAAGAACGAATATTCTTCTCTGCACTTTGTAAAAGACAAGTCTAAACAAACCAAGTTCTGCCAAAGACACCAGGATTAGTTTGCATTTTTGTTTCCTATATATCATTATTTCTGCATTCACTGCAACTGTTTCATTTTTTTCTTCCGTGTCCGATTCTCATGGGACTGCCTGAACAAGACTCTGTAGTTTTCTTGGCATGGTTTTTCAAAAGGGGTTTGCCACTGCCTCCTTCTTGGGGCAGAGTGAAAGTGTCTGGTCCAAGGTCACCCAGCTGGCTTTGTGCCCAACACAGGAGAACTCACAACTGCCCAGGGTCTAGCCTAATATCTTTGCCACTAAAACAGACTGGCTCTAATTTCATATTTTCCTAAAATGGAATGGAAAGTAAGAGCTCACACACACAAACAGACTGAAAAAATCTCTACCTTCCTTACTAGATTCAGTTAATGCAAAATGATCCTGCTATTGTACAGTTAAATTGGGGAATTAAGTAGATTAACTCTTTGAAGGGACTTCAAAGAACTCAAAACAAGATTTATTGCTAATAGAACCAGAGCAGGAATACAGCACTTTTTAATGCCAAGCTAGTAGTCAGGGAAGCGATGCCAAGAAGCAAGTAAAAAAGAAGACACAACTTTTTTGGGGTTCAAAAGCTAAGAAACGCCAGGGAAACTATTAGAAAATTCCAAGATTGCCGGCTAAAATGGAAAGCTGGAAAAAACATTCCCCCTTAAAAAAGAAAATGGCAAAAAAAAAAAAAAAACCCACCACCCAATCATCTTAAGGAAACTGAATGATATAGGGACATGGCTATTTTTTTATTTACCATCAAAACACTGTGAGAACATTATCACTAGAGGGCAGTGCAAGTATTTTATTTTTTAAAAACCAAATTAATAACAAGCCTCCTTAGGAAGCTTTTAACCAGTTCAAAAAAGCCATTTACCTAAGAGACCCATACCAAACACATTCAGAAAAATTCAACCAAAGAGCTAGAATTCTCCATCTCCGCTAATATTCATTGAGCCATTACTTGAGAAAAGCCATTTTACCACTGTGTAAGTAGCAGTTTCAATCCATTTGTACGCTCACTATAAGCAATCCATAGCTTACGATGGCAGGACCAGGATTGCCATTACTAAGCCATGCAGTTGTAAAGCACAACATTACAAATCCACATTGCTTAATGAAGATAAGCCAACAATCCTGGATGCTGTCATAACCCCAACCCTTGCAGATTTTTAAGGGGGAAGTGGCAGATTCCCAGGAGGATAGGGGAGGCACGCCACTCAGGAGTAGGGGGAGGGCTTGGGAGGCCTGGCGCAGGAAGATTAGAGGGGGTGGTACAGCAGGGCAGGAGCACATGCTGGATGATCTGGTGGGCGTGAGCTCAAGAACGTGGGGGGGGGAGGGGGGATACTCATTAGAGTGACTTGCAAACTTCCCTGCCAGCTTCCCCATTAACTTTGCTTGTGGGAAAGCTGCGAACATGGATCGCATGATCCAGGGACACTACAACCATCCTAAGTAGAAGTGGGTTGTAAAGCACCCAAATCGTGATGGAGTGACTGCAGGGGGATGCAATCTACAGCCTAGATCTAAGTATCACTCATTCAATACCATCACAGCTTCGAATGGTCACTGAACAAGAGGTCAATAAGCAGTCTGCCTGTATTAAGAAAAGAGTTTGAGGGATGCAACAGACTTCAGTAGCATGGAGAGAACACTGTTCACAGCAACTATTTCTGATACTGATCCAGCTGGATCAACCTTAAGATCACTGTTATACACGCACACATGCTTTTCCTCCTAACTTTAAAAGTACAAACACTTTTTAAAGATACTCTTGAAATCTGAATTAGGCATTGTCCTGATTTCTCAGAGTAACAGAGTTGGAAAGAGGGGTCAAAGTGGCCATCTATGTCAAAATTGAACAGCCCTCTCACAACAGGGGGGTGGGAGGATACGACATCATCTATCTCCAGTCTACAACAGTCCTTTCAACAGTTCCAAGAAGGCTTCACATCCATTTGCACTACACAGGTGACCCTGACCACAGGGTAAACCTCCAAGTGGCCTCAACGATCCTCTAAAATAATGCAAAAGACCAGCAGTCTTCAAAGAGTATAAATCCTTCCATTTCCCACCATCCACTCAGAGTTGAAGAATCTATTTGGATGAGAAGCAGAACGTCTTCAAAAGGAAAAAAAAAACAGAAAGTCCAGTGGCCTCTTGAAAATAAAGCATCTTTGCGACATCTATGACCTGGATGAATGTGAATCTCCCTACATAAGAATCCGAAGGGGCCTTGGAGATCTTCTAGTCCACCCCCACCCACCCAAGCGCTCAAGCAGGAAACCCTATACCATGATTGCCCAATCTCTTCTTAAAAACCCCCTCTGTGTTGCAGCATTCAGAACTTCTGGAGGCAAGTTGTTCCACTGGTTAATTGTTCTGTCAGGAAGTTTCTCCCTAATTTTAGGTTAGCTCTTTCCTTCATTAGTTTCCATCTGTTGTTCCTTCTTGTCCTGCCTTCAGGTGCTTTGGAGCTCCACAACAGAAATCCAGAAGGGGGAGTTGAAGGACTCCTACAACAAAACTATGCAAAGGAATCTGCCACACGTGGTAAGGAGTGAAGTGCCAAAGCGCCAATTCCCAACCAATGCTCATATCTCAACACGATTTGAAAGCTGACTGGCGAGAAGAACGAAAGCTACAAGCAACGTACCTGTTTGCCTCGATAGAAAAGCCTCTGTCTGTCAGGTAGCACCCTGAAAACTTCATGGATCCTCTGACGGAGCTCTTCCACTTTCGTCAGCTTGGAAAGAGAGTCCACCCGATGTGTCTCTTTCCCATCCATGGTGCGCACTTGGATCCACATTGTGGCGGTTGTCCCTGTGGAAGAATCACAAGCACGTGAAGGAAGGGGAGAAGGGAGACCGTGCCTTTCCATCAACCCCAATTTTGCTCCCAAACACGTGCCCACCCCTCGCAAGCCCCCCCTCATTCAACCTAAAAGCACGTCCATGTTTGCGCAACGCTCGGTCCCATTTTGCATCCATTGTGCAAATCCAGCATCGCCCTCCATATACGAGACGCCCCCTCACCCTCCCTCTGTAATTACTCCCCTCTTCCCACCCAGTTCACCCCCCTGATTTTAACAGGATGCCATTCATTTCACAGACGCCACTCGTTTCATCTGGCTGAAATAAAATCCCTGATGCATTTATTGCCAATACTTTTTGTTTGTTTGGGGGTGGGGGTGGGGGTGGAATAATTTATCCCATGATGACCAGCCAGCTTGGATAAACCGGATGAAACAGATATACCCCCTGAAGGTAGACTGGCCTGGTCTGAACCTAAATTTGGACGAAATAAAAACTAAAAAGTTAAATTGCAGTAATTCCCATCCAAAAAAATAGCAGTTATTACCGTACTAGCGCTGGCATGTGGTTTCCAAATAGCCCGTTTCTTAGAAAAAGTTATCCAGATGACGAATATAAAGGTTACACAACCATCTTTCCCAATTAAAAACAAGGTTCCCATGGCAACCATGGCCTTATTTTCCCCTCCCCAAAGCCCCCCCCCAGCCGCCCTCTTCCCCCCCTCCAGGATCCCCCTCCCCAAAGTTTCCCCCCCCACGAGCACCCCCAAGTTTTCCCCATTCCTAGAAGCCCCTAAACTGACCAGCCCCCCCCTATATCTATAGGTGGCTGGGACGCCTCCCCCCCCCACGGAACCCCCATTCCAGCTCGCCCCACTTCACGGACCCACAAAAAAGAGGTTCCCTCAATGAAGCCGTCTGCCCCGGCGCTCTAAACCCTCCTTCTCCGGTTCGGCCCTCCCGTTCCTCGCCCCCAAAGCAGCCCGTTCGAGGGGGCTCCCCTTCCGTACCTCGTCGGCCGTTGCCCCCTCGGAGCCGCTCAACGACCCCACAGCGCGACCGCTCAACCGAACCTCCTGGCTGTTTTTTTTTTTATTTCCCCGCCTTGCTTTTTTTTTTTCCTGCGCTCCGCCCCCTTCCCCGCTCCTCGTCCCCCGATTGGCCGCGCGCCCCCAAAGGGAGGACGCCCATAAGCCGCTTTCCTTCAGGAAAGCCTCCAAGCGCCCGCCTTCCACCGCCAGCAGGTTCGGCTGCGCTCCTCGCCCCCATCCGACGACTTGCCTGTTCCTCCTCGCGGAGTTCAAGGCGCGCGCCACAAATTGAAAAAAAACCGCCGGGCTGCGAGGATTGGGAAAGGGAAGTCTCGCGAGATGTTGCTTAAAAAAAAAAAACGAAGCCGAGAGAAAGGCGCTTGAGGGAAGGGAAGGCGGGGGAAGCCGATGAATTTAAAGGGACAGGCTGCATTTTTGAGCTTCCCTTCCGTCCCTTGCAACAATTTTGCGCGTTATTTCGAAAAGGAGACGCGGTTTTCGGTTGGGTTGCAGCAGAAGGCAGCAAGGCAATTTGCCCAGCCAAAATTAAAACCCTATCCGTTGCAAAACCCTAATGTTATTTATTTATTTATTTTATTTGTTCAATGGCTATGGGATAGGGCTTACTTAAAAAATAATTCGATTAATTGAATTAATGGACCATGATTTCCCATGCAACTTATTTTCCAAAAAAAAAAAAAGCATCTGTGGATTCAATTTCCTTGCAAATAGGTTGCATTACAGCCTGAGAGGAAAAACACTTGCAAAACAATCATCACATGCAAAGAGTAAATTTTTGCAACTCATTCGAAGCTTAACTCCAAAATATTTCCTAACTGGTTGTAGCAACAATCTTGTGGCATCTTTAATGCTTGCCAATTTACTGCAGCAGGAATCTGCCTCTTGGTTACAATACCTGTAATAGAATTCTTTATTGGCCAAGTGTAATTGGACCTATAATAATAATGCACAGCAGGGCATATATAATGGACAGCAGGGCATTTAGACAAGACTGCCAGAAGCCGTGGGAAGACCGGATTCATTCTATCAATGAAATCTGCATTATTATAATTATTGATGCAGTATGTGAAATTGCTGGATTCGGAACGATTCAAACTGGCGACTGGAAAAGATTTTAAAAGTTCCACCAGAAAAGGATAGACGGACAAAAAGAGGGAAAGCATCCCACCTTTGAAAACCACCAAAAATATCCTAAAGTTCTTAAAATCATCCTGGTCCGGGGTACCTGTTGGAAAAACCAGATTTTTTAAAAAAAATCTTTCCGAAAAGATTGCATAGCACAGCCTCAAAGCTAAATGGAAGTCTTGAGTTATAAAGACAAAGAAATGCAAATGAAAAATGGGTGTAGAGGCAACGAAATGTATTTGCATCCTAATTGATTTATTTGTAATTTATTTATGTTTCTTCAGAGCATGGAATTGCGAGCATCGCCGGAGACCTGGCGAAAACACGTGGCAACTCGTAAATGGCAAAATCGGCTGGAGAAAATCTCTTTACTGTATCTTACAGCGAACAGCCTCATTGAATATTTTGCTTTTCTTTCTTCCTATAACCCTGTCCCACCCACCTTCCACCAATTCGTCACCGGTTAGGAATGTCTCCCGCCCGTCCAATCCTGATCTCCTACTTGCTTGATCCTGTTTGGGGATCCCTTTTGTGATCCACCACGCGGGAAAATCCACCGCGCGGGAAAATACCAAGCGAAACTCCATTTCTTTCCCTGTCCTTCGGGCCTCCAATCTGCTCACAATCGCTTTTATTCCCAAACTGAAAGACACAACATGCAGGCGTTCGCTGGTATTTCGAAAACGCAACAAACAACGATGGCACCGGATTTTGTGGCAGAGCTGCCCGGCGAGCCCTGTGCTCGAAGGGCAGCTATGCCACAGGAAGGGTGAGGTCACCACAAAATAACACAGAGGTTGCAACTCAGGGCTGTCGGCTTTAAGCATCCATGAAAACATTAAAGTGGTATTTCCCAGCATCCGGAAAATTAAGATGTGTGGACTTCAATTCTTTGAATTCCCCAGCCAGCAGAGGTCCAAATATTTTATTAATTCTGATTAATAAATTAAATTACAGATAGTCCTCATCTTACGACCACAATTGAGCCCCCAATTTCCATTGCTAAGCGAGACGTTTGTTCAGTGAGTTTTGCCCCATTTTTACGAGCTTTCTTGCCACAGTTGTTAAGTGAATCACTGCTGTTAAGTTGCTCACACGATTGTTAAGCGAATCTGGCTTCCCTGTTGATTTTGCTTGTCAGATGGTCGCAAAAGGGGATCACATGAGCCCGGGACACTGCGACTGTCATAAATATGACTCAGTTGCCAAGCATCTGAATTTTGATCACAGGGATGCTGCAACGGTCACAAGTGTGAAAAAGTCTTAAATCACTTTTTTCGGTGCCGTTGTAATTGCAAATGGCCACTAAATGAATGATTGTTGAGGTCTACCTGTAGCTGGCGGTCTCCTTTTCAAGTACAGGTAGTCTTCAACCTACGACCACCTTGGAACCCAAATTTATGCTGTTAAGTGAGAAATTTGTTAAGCAAATTTTGCCCCGTTTTATGACTATTCTCGCCACGCTCGCTAAGTGAAGTTGTTGAATTAGTAAGCCGGTTGTTAAGTGAATCCCGTTTCCTCCTTGACTTTGCTTGTCGGAAGATCACAAAAGGGGATCAGGTGATTCCAGGACACTGCGACCGTCATAAATATGAGCCCGTTTTTCAAGCATCCTAATTTTGATCGCGTGACCATGGGGATGCTGCAATGGTCGTAAATTGAAAAAATGGTCACAAGTCACTTTTTTCAGTGCTGTTCTAACTTTGAACGGTCACTAAATGAACTGTTGTAAGTGGAGGACTACCTGTACTAAACATGGATAAAAGGTTAGCATTCGCTGTCAAATTATTCACCCTGGTGTCACATCCATGTTGTTTTCTGACAGTATTGAACTAATCTGTCATTATCTTTTAAGCCACATACATGGTGAAAATTAGTTAGGGGACCTTAAGCATGTGACTTAGATCCTCTTACATCCATAATTTATTTAAATTATCCTACTACAGATAGTCCTCGACTTACAACAGTTCATTTAGTGACCATTCGAAGTTGCAACAGCATTAAAAAAAAATAGTGACATGACCGGTTTTTGTACTTACGACCGCCGCAGCATCCCCATGGTTAAATGAACAAAATTCAGACGCTTGGCCACTGGTTCATATTTATGACGGTCGCAGTGTCTTGGGATCACGTGATACCTTCTGACAGGTAGAGCCAATGGGCTAACCAGATTCACTTAGCAACCCTGTTGCTAACTTAACAACTGCAGTGATTCATTTGAACAACTACGGCAAGAAAAAGTTGTAAAATGGGGCAAAACTCACTTGTCTCACTTAGCAACAGAAAGTTCGGGCACCATTGTGGTCATAAATCGAGGATTACCTGTATTTCATGAAAGCAATGCAGATTTTCAGAGGGGTTAGAAGTGTGTAAGGGCCAAAAATGGTCCCTCCAAATGATTGTCTGATGCACGCACATCCCTCTGGCCACCTTTTTCAAATATTGCCCCTCCATGTCTGAACCAGGCCCAATCCTGCTTAGCTTCCCAGCTAGAAGGTCAGGCAGATTCTCTGCCCAAACAGGAAATGGGCTTTCAAACTTGTGATTAAGAGTTAGAAGACCAAGCTCTAATCAGCCTCAGGAACCACTGATTTTCTAACCCAAAGGATCTTATCCATTTCAAAAATGTGCTGCTGTTCTCGTTAAGCTACCTGGGTCAGTGGAATGAATGAAGGAATCTTCTAAAATTGCACCTTATGTGCACATGGACACACATGATTGCTATTTTACCATTCTGTATTACATCACTGCCTTCGGTCCAGCATCATGCAAGGCATCTAGCTAACAGCCAACAGAAGATGATTAGAATTAGAAGATCGGCTCAAGATTAAGGT